TGGAGAAGAGGCGAATTGAATGCAAGCAGTAGTTATTATTAATTGTGTTATTTCCACATGTCTCAATTCGAAAAAAAATCATTTTAAATTGTTTGTATAATAATAATGGTGTGTTGCTTTAAAACGATAATCAATTTGAAAAAAAAAAAAAACAAATAAGTTGTTTGGAGAAGAGGCAAATTGAATGTGAGCAGTAGTTATTATTAATTGTGTTATTTCCACATGTCTCAATTCGAAAAAAAATCATTTTAAATTGTTTGTATAATAATAATGGTGTGTTGTTTTAAAATGATAATCAATTTGAAAAAAAAACAAACAAAATAAGTTGTTTGGAGAAGAGGCAAATTGAATGTGAGCAATAGTTATTTTTAATTGTGTTGTTTCCATTTGTCTCAACTCAAAAAAATAAATCCTTTTAAATTGTTTGTATAATAGTAATAATAATAATGGCAAAATCATTTATTGCCAGAAACTGCAAGAGCATGCTTATGTTTAAAAAGCTGGATAAGAAAAAAAAATACTAGATTAGGTGTAGAAGTTATACATACATTAATATATATGTATCATTTTAAAAATACTCATCTTCACGTTTTTATTTTTATGTATTTTTTTTAAAAATAAAATTTTGTATTACATTTTCACGTGATATAATAACCTGACCAATAAACATAGAGATTTTAGTTTCACAAAAAAACCGAACCGAACCTAAACCAAAAACCGGTTCAAAAACCGAGTTCGAACCGGGTTTTTTTAAACCGCCCCATCCCTAGTAGGCATTACAATAGGGGCATATTGTTTGAGTCGATGTGCAGTAGTAGTCGTTTTTGATTTTAGACCGTGTGGTATGATTTCTTTTGCACGTGGTGAAACAGAAGTCGCTATTAGCAATGACGAGGATGATGAGGATGATATTATGGGTGTATTAGTGGAGTTGGCGATGTTTTCTTGTTCAGATGAAGGAATGGAAATGGTTGTGGTATTAGAAACAATATTATTATTAATAGTGGTAGCATTTGCAGCAGATAAGGAAGGTGAAGGTGTTGTTTGTTGTTGTAGTGAATTAGATGTAGGCGTAGGTGACGATGGCTGCGATGATGGCGTATTTGTAGCAGAAGTTGATAAGATGTTTGATATTCCAGTAGCGTTTGATGGTGGGGTCAAAAATTCCTTATTTAACAATGGTGATGATGCTGTAGGCGATTTTTTTTTAGTTTCTTCAATTTCAGAGATTGCGATTTCTGGAGTAGAAGTCGTTGAAATGGTTTCTTGTTGGAAATCATTATTAATACTTATGTTGTTGTTATCATTTATAATGACTTGTTCA